TGGAACATCTGCATGATGCCTTGGAAGAGAACAACCCGTAGGGAGGAGGTCACCGTGCCGGCCGCGTAGCTCTCCTGCCACTTGTTGGAGGCCTTCTTCATAGCTGGGACGACACTCATCTCCCCGTCCGCATCGCAGAAGCACATGAAGTTCGTCTCCGTCCGGAGCCTGCCCAACTCTTCCTCGTGGCGGATGCACATCTTGGTCAGGGCCTTGATGAGCTCCACAGTCTCCTGGCCGAGGTTCTGCTCCTGGTCGCCAGCATGATCTTTCTTCCACCAGGAGCCCGTGTCCTGACCCTTTCCAGAACGCCCCTTGTAGCCGGGCCTTTGCCACTTGCTTGGCTGATCCCACTGCTGCTGCTTCTGGCGATCCGGTGCCGGCAGCGCTGTCGAGGCCTGAGAGGCACGGTCCTCCTGGTTGCCTCCCCAAACATCCTCCGCCTCCCTCTTGGCCACCGCCCGGATGTGCATCTCGCTCTCCGTCTCCATCTTGTTCCTGTCGTACAATCAAGTGAAGAATGGCAGCTTGGAACAAAGCAGGACAATGACGCAGGTGTGATCTTGGGGCTTTGAACTGGCCTCCGCAGTAGGTGCAGGGAGTGGCAGCACTAAGACCGGCAGTGCTTGAGCACAGGCTGTTGGCATCATCCCTACATGCCCAATGTTTTGCATGCGCAAGCCTAAGATGTTGCTTCACTCCTGGCCCCTGCATGGAAACCCACTGTCCACAAATGACGCAGTGAGTGCGTAGACAGGAGAGGAGATCGGGTGATTGTAACAATGCACGCCAGCCGTTTTTGGCAAGCTCACGGGCTTCAGTGCGCTCAAGAAGTGGCAAAGTAGCGCCTGGTTGCGTACCAAAGTCAGCTGATGCAACCGGAGGGGCCCGGCACGAATGCCCATGCAGCCCCTCTACCTCTTCGGCTCCCTTCACCGAAGAGGTATCAGTTACAATCACCACCTGTGGCAAAGCCCTTGCATGAAGCACCCTACATGATCCCTTAAGGTGCTTCTGAAGCGCCTCGTACCTAGTGAAGGTCTTCTTGCAATGAACACACTCAGGCATGCCATCGACGGAGTGTCTGTGCATCTCTCTGGCCGTAGGCTTGAGGTTCGGTTTGGGCAGTGGTCCATGTTGTTTGGTATGGTGAGTATGCATGATGCGAACACTACCGAAATACTGACCACACGTGGGACAGGCAACACGTTCAGTAAGGGTACAGGGCATCAGTACCCCCTTGGGGTCATCAGCCGAATCTCCCTGTACAGGCGCCTCGATGAGCAAAAGCGTGCGACGCATATCACATACTGCCGCCTCCTGCTGGCTGCGCAATATTCTGCGTTTCAGCAGCTGACACAGTGCAGCCGTCGGACTGCAAATGCGGAGGCGCTTCCTCAAGGCAATAGTGGTTTCGTGCGTGAGATGTGCTGGGCTGCGCGCAATGCCTCTGAGATACTTAGCATCAGTGGCCTCTAATTGATCAATCATGACACCGCTGACACCTACAGCATGCAGTCCGTAGAGAAGCGTGCTGCGTACGCATGCCTGATATAAGCACGTGCGCCTTGAGACTGGGAGCTGACGACTGTGAAGGATCTTGATCAACCTTGCCCTGGCGCTAGCAGCTATGCGCTGTCTATGCGACAATGACTGCTGTTCAAACTGCTTGTAAGACACCACAACCCCCAGATAGACGAACGAGTCAACAACCGGCAGAAG